GTGTGTGTGTGTGTGTGTGTGTGTGTGTGTGTGTGTGTGTGTGTTGGTGGGAGCCGGCCATAGCTGCCTCCTCCTCTGCACCCTGGAGGGAACATTCTAAATCTGATAGCACCCACCCAGGGAGTCCCTGGGTGCCACAAACAGCTTTGCAGTTGCCTGCTAACTGAAAGGCTGGGGGGTTAAGTCTACCCAGAGGTGCCTGGCAAGAAAGGCCTGGCAGCCTTATGGATCACAGTTCTCTGTCACACACGGGGCACCGTGGATCAGAGTTGACTGGATGGCACCTAGTATGTGTGTGTGCCCACGTGTGTGTGTGCATGTGTACATGCTGCTTCTACTGTCACACATCTCTCCCTTCTGTCGGCGGGACTGCGGCAAACCCAGACTCAGGCGAGAGAAAGAAGCCCCAGCTCCAGGCTCCGAAAGGGATGGAATGAGTGAAAGGGTCCCTTCTCGGCAAACCCCCTTGCTCACCCTGCTGGCCCCCTCCATGAGCTGGCCAGCCCCAGAGTCCCGCTGCCCACTGCACCTGCCCCGGTCTCCACCCACTCCCCGCCTATCTGGGGCTGTGATGTCCGGGCACGTGAACTCCTGGGCACCAGCGGAGCAGCCCGGATCCAGCCACACCGGCTGCTACAGAGAGGACACAGCGATGTCCAGGGACACGTTGCCAGAGAACGGACACCCAGCTGGAAATGCAGGTTCTGTCTGGGAGGTTGGGTTCACCAGGCATTTGTACCATCTCAGTTGTATTGTGCGTCGGACATGTCAGGAGAGACCAGTCCCTGGAGAAGGATGTCGTGCTTGGTAAAGTGGAGAGGCAGCGAAAGAAGCGAAAGGCCTTGGACACAACGGACTGACACAGTGGCTGCAACGATGGGTTCTAACATCCCAACAACTGTGAGGACGGCGGACGGGCAGGGCTTTGTTCTGCTGCACAAGGGCTCCCGTGAGTCAGCCCACTGCCACCACCAGATGATACTGTTCTACAACGTTTCAATCTTCTAGAGGAACTATCTGCTACTTTTGTAACAAGGGAGAAAAACTCCCAAAGCGTACAAAGGGAGCTAGGCGCTTCATCATAAGCCAAAGAACAAGATGGGGGGAAGTCCATGGAAGCAGCTGACAGAATGAGGGGCTTGGGTCCCTCCTCCCCTGCACCTGAGGCATCAGGGTGCGCCCCTCACTCCTCTGGCTGCCTCTGTCTCTTTCCAGACCCTTGGACTTGGGTCTTGGGGTGCTTGTGGGAAGGAGGAGCGAGATGCTGGAGGCATCTTTTGACTTTGAGTCCTGGCTCTACTCCACACCTCTGCTCCAAGCCCAGGCTCCTCATCCACAGAGGGGGGCTACTGGACACCCTGCCCTCTCCTCCTCCAGGGCCTGCCGGGAGAGCAATGACTCTGAAAAGAGACCCCAAAGGAGGAAGCCTCATGCCACCCACAAACCAGGCTCTGCTCTCACAAACGGTGGCCCCCTGGGACACACACACACACACACACACACACACACACACACACACACACCCCACGAGTGCAGCCACCATGGACACTCAGGGGCAGCCATCGGGCACAAAGCCACCTTGCTCATTAGCCACAGGGAAGCCAGGACGTCTCTCTGATGGTGAGTCAAGACAGGAGAGAGATGACGCAGGCCTATTTTGGAAAGATGCATTCCCCGACTTGGCAAAAACACTTTGGTCAACATCACATTTCTGCAAAACTCCACAGAGCTGTTCGCAGCACCCCAGCTACACATTAGCGCTTATCTGTGAACCTGCCCCAGTGGCCTTGCGCCATCACATCTCGCCATGCTGCAGGTCCGAGCCACTTGCTTGGCTGCCGGTGGGGACTGAGGACACAGGGTGGGGGTATCAATATGAGGTGCTGGCGGGCTGGCTGATGGTGCAAACGTTAGGCGCTCCCCTGGGAGGGGGCTCGGGGGACTTGACTTACCTCTCCCTCGGGCCCAGGTGTAGATTCGACTGGTCTCAGTGCTTCTGGGCTCTGGCTCAGCTGGCTCCACCGGCATAGGTCGGAAGTGGGGGTCATCAGCCCGGCCGGGGGTCTTCAGGGGCAGGATATATTTGGGGAGCCCTTTGTAGAACCAGGCCCCTGACCTCTTCCAGACCTGGGGATGGGGGACACATCTGCTTAGAGCACAGGACGTAAGGAGACCTCTTTGTACCATGTATGGATCAAGTCTCCCCCTGGTCGCCTTCCCACCCTCCCTTCCTGTGATGGGAGGTGGGGGTGGGGATTCTGCCTCTGCCCTCCCTCTCACTGGCCGCCGTCTTCCCAAGGCTCAGGACACTTGGAGCCTCATCCTACACACTTCCATGGCCCAATTTCCCATCTTTCTCCTGCTTATGCAACCCACCGCCCCTGTCCATGGTTCCCTGCTTTGGTCTCAGACACTCAGAATCCCAGCCCCCCACCCATCCCTGCTCAAGAACTCTAGCGAAGGGAGTTCCCCACCCCCAACCCTACCACTAGCCACAAGGCAGCCTCTGGGCGCTGTGAGCAGCCCTCACTGCACTTCCTGCCCTGGCTGGAGGCCTCCTGGGGGTATAGACAGGGGCCCTATTCAACCCACCGCCCCGCCACCCCACCAGCCACCAAGTCATTCCGACTCTCCCACGTGTGGTGGTGCCCAGGCCCCCATGTCCCGTCTTGAGACTAACACCCCTGGATCCCATAGATGTCCTTAAGGCCTTCCCAGCCCCTGTGGCTGGGGTCATGTTTGCCACTGTCCCTTGGGGTAGGGATACGGGGTGCTCAAGAGTGGCCACAAAGCTCCAGACTTGGTCCAGCCGCCTCCAGGACAGTCACTGGCCTCCCCTTCCTCTGCCCAGCCTGTCCCATCCTCCTTGAATCTGGGGCATCCCTGGAGCCCCTGCTGACCCCACAGAGTCCAGGCAGGGACTCTTAGAGCTGGTGGGGGGTCACACAAGGCTTGCCAGGTTCCAAGCAGATCCAGAGTGCTCTTTAGCAGCGTTCCTCTTGGGCATGATGTGGGTTGAGGGAAGCTGGTGAGATGGACAGCCCTGAAGGCTAGCCTGTCTACCGGCCCTGGACAGACTGGGCCTTCCACGTATTCTTGCTGTCACTCTGGGCCGCTCTAACCCCGAGTTTTCTCATTGCAGTAACGAAGCTTGCTGAGAAAACCGCAAAGACGGCAGCGCTGCACAGGCCCCAAAGGTGCTCGGCAGATGCCGCTCCTGCTCCCCCTGGCTGGACCCTTCCCCTCTAGGCCCAATGAGTTGATGCCAGGGCTACTCTGCGGTCCCACAAAGCTCTTCCCAAGAGCCTCCGGGGCCGAGACAACCTCTGTAGCTGGCAGAGGACCTGAATCTCCGGGAAAGCCACAGATTAGAATTCAGAAGGGGAGCTGAGATAAGGCCCTGGAATCCTTACTGCCTCCTTGAGAAACACCGAGGGCTCTAATCTCTTTTCTGATAAAAGAAATACATTAAGGGCATTCCGTCAGGAGAAGTGTGTGTGAGTGTGTGTGTGTGTGTGTGTGTGTGTGAGAGAGAGAGAGAGAGAGA